TAGAGGTGGTGGAGGTGGTGGCGGCGGTGGTGGTGGTGGTGGAGGTCAAGGAGGAGGTGGTGGTGTTGGATGTGGAGGTGGAGGTGGTGTCATTTTTAAAATTAATGATAGTATTTTGGGAATTAAAAAAATTCATTAAAAACTTACTTTTGCTTATTTTATTTTTTTAAACAGTTTTGAAAAGCAACCCAGGATATGCTTTTAAAAGTTGCCGTCAAAAAGTCACTATTTTAAAATAATCGGAATATTTTACTTTTACCAAATAACTTAAACTGCTTACCTTTAAGGTGAAGTAGATTTTTGACAAAAATAAGCAATTCCAAACAGGACCATAGCTTCCCCTTTCCAATTACTACTCATCCAAAGAAAATTCTGACACACGTTTTTCGTCGCATAAATTAGTTGGTAACTGTTCTGTTTGGCCAAGAATTTTCTTTGTTGAAGTTGCTATATAGTCTGCCCTTTGGTTCCTTGAACTTTCACTGCTCATCAAATTGTTTGTCAATGGCTTTATCTCTTCTTCTTCACTTGCTTGGCCTTTTCCTTGTAGTTGAACGACTTTCTATAGCAGCTCAAACTGCAAATATTAGCTTGGGGTCGTCTCTTACTGCATCCCAGGGCTCATTTGCATGGCAATCGCCTTTTGGGACATTTGCCTTCGGATTTCGCCGCATTGTTGACCAAGATCTCTTCTTGCTTGCCATATGGTATGATAAAATACCAGATAAAACCATAGTTTGGTATGCAAATGGAGACAATCCAGCACCAAAAGGATCCAAACTTGAGCTTACCGCTGATGGCCAACTCACACTCACTGGCCATCGAAGCCAAGAAATATGGAAGCCTCAATCTGTTCTTAGTGGAAGGGTTGCCTATGCTGCCATGCTCGACACCGGTAATTTTGTGCTTGCAAACAACAATGGTGACTACTTATGGCAGAGCTTCAAAGAACTCAAAGACACCGTTTTGCCAACCCAAGTGCTGGAAATTGGCGAAAAGCTGAATTCTAGACAAACAGCAAACAACTTCTCACAGGGGAGCTTTCAACTCCAACTTAAATCAGATGGAAGGCTTGTGCTATATCCTATCGGCTTGCCTACAGAGGTTGCCTACCAGCCCTACTACCAAAGCAATACTTCTGATGCTGTTGATGAAATGAATTCTGGTTATCAGCTAAGCTTTAATGAGTCAGGTTACCTCAATGTTGTCAGGAGGAATGGAGATATAGACAAGCTCATAAACAAAACACTATTACCAATAAGAGATTACTATTACAGAGCAACACTCGATTCGGATGGTCTTTTCACCCAATATGCTCACCCAAAGTCCTCCAAAAACGGGAGCTGGACATCCTGGTCGCCTGTCTGGTCTATCCCAGATAACATTTGCTTTGAAGCAAATGGTGATTTGGGCAGTGGACCATGTGGCTACAATAGCTACTGCAGACTCAACGCGAACAGAAGGCCAATTTGTGAATGCCTTCCTGGCTTTTCTTCTTTAGATCCAAATAACAAGTTGAGTGGATGTAAACAAAACAGAATACAAAGTTGTGACGAGCAAGGAAAATCAAAGCCAGAGGATTTGTATGTTATGCATGAGCTATCTAATACTTTTTGGATAACTTCTGCAAACTTTGAGCAATTGCAGCCAATGAATAAAGATGACTGCAGCAGATCTTGCCTC